AGTGGTAGGAAGAATACCTTCGACACCTGTCAGTCACATTGGGTAAACATAGTCAGAAATCCATACCTTGAATATACGCTATGATGCCAAGTGTTAACTGCAGTCAACAACTGGATTCAGACATAATCTGAATGCGTTTGGAGGTGTGTTCTTAATCAAAGTTTAATTTATTTTATGCCAGAAAAACTTGGAAATTTTCACCTAGACTGATGAAATGCCTGGATTGAGCAGGGACACCGGGGAGAAGAGTCCATGATAAATGGGGCTCTACGACTCAGTGGTAGATGTGTCCATGGGCAAGACACTTAACCCCAAATTGCTCCTGTGCCTACGGTGTGTGACTGAAAGTATGAATATTAGAGAGTCCTGCAGTTGGCAATGGGTGAATGATGACATTTCAATCAGGAAAGACAAGTCAGATAAGAAAAGATAATTGTTTATTGTGAACAAATGATATGTGAAGATAAAGTCTTCAGAGTCTTTTGCGCTTGGACTCTACAGGGAGATTTGTAATCGAGGGGCATCTGCCCTGACAAGCAGCAAGATAAATCCCCCCGTGGAGTTCAGACACTGATGGTGGTGGTGCTGATGAGGCTGATAGAATGATGATCAAGATGATGAATCTGCGAAGATTAGGCGGAGATGGGGATGTGGAGCGTTGCGTAAGAGCACCATGAACGTACTGAAGGTAGAGAGACAATCATATTTAAGAGTGTCAGCAGCAAGATGATAGGCTAACGATGTAATTGATCTCTTCTATGCTATTGGATAGAACAGACCAGCTGATCTGGACAGCTGATATCATGATCAACAGCCCCGAACAATGACAGCAAGGAAATCATTAGTGTGCATACATCTGCCATGCATGAGTGGCAGATGTATGAGAAATAAACTACGGGCTTAGGCATGCAAGAGTATAGTCTTCCTGACTGAGCTAGAGCTTCATGTAGTGTTAAATATCTTTGAGTGGTCTGAAGACTAGAAAAGCGCTAAACAAGTACAGTCCATTTACTATTTACCATTTCAAGGCAATGGGAACATACTAATGGAGGACAAAGCCACGTGAGCCAACTCCTGTCTATGGGTGCCTTTACAGTGTACAGTGCTCCATTTAGCCAAAAGTACAGTCGCTGGCATGCATATACTGTTTGGGCAGTTTCCAAAGCTTCTTGGCTTGAAAACTTTCATTTCTCACCCATCCCCTTGAAAAGCTGCCTCTCATTACATTCAAAGCAATGTACTGAGAGGCTGAGTTCATGGTTTTGGCACAGTGATGAGTGTTCACTATACACTATATTTAGAGGCATGGCTTGAAACCACTGTAAATGACAAAAGAAATGTTTGGTAGAATGTAGTAATGAGAATGGCTGAATATGGGTGAAAAACAAAACTATGACAAAAGGCCTTGTGTTTGATCCTCAGACTCACTTGGAAGATATAAAAGAGGCAGTGAGCTAGTAAAGGTTCCAGTATTATTGAAACAAACTAGTTTGTATGACATATTGTCTGACCATGAGTAAAGCCAAAAGTGTTTTTTTCTTTTTTTGAATTGCCACATTTGTAACCCCAGCCATTATGCCCAAAATCACTCATTATTTAAGGGTTTCTCTTATAAAAGCAAAACAAAGTGTGCTGCAACAAGCTTAAATGGGCTTATTAATTCCCTCTGTGGCCAGTAGTGAGAAAACACCCTCTGCCACTGTGGCTGTCTCAAAAACAAACCTAGGTGAGCAAAACAACAGTCAGAGGTATGCTTTCATAGAAGTGTTTTGACTGAGTGATGAATTGTTTAGTTACAGTGAATGCATTGCATACCATGATTGTCTCAGGACCATGAAAACGTCATTATCTGAATGAGCTACGGCTGTCTTTGGGTCTTTGTTGTATTTTTGTATTTGGTTTGTTTGGGTTTAGTTCCCAGTAACATAAAGCAATGTAACACAAATCTGGACCCTGTTTTGTATTTGTACCAGGTACTTGTCTCAATATTATTTTGCACTGTAGATAGTACCCCCTCAACGTCATAGTCATAGTGATGGCACATGATACTGCAGTGACATCATCTTCAACACAACGCAAACTATGTTTTCCCCAGGCGGCAACCTCCGGTTCTGCCGAGGGAAGCCGATGCGGAAGTGTCTTGAAGCTGCATTCTCTCTGATGTCCATCAAGGGGCAGCTCCTCTGGTTGTATAGAAGTCTATGAGAAAATGACTCTACTTCTCTCTTGATTTATTACCTCAGTAAACATTGTAAACATGAGTTTATGGTCTTACTCTCTGGTTTCAAGTTTTCACAGCATGATGTTCATTTCATAAATTATGGTCCATTTAGAGTCAAATAGACCATAAAGCGGAGTATGCTTTACGGCGGGCTTACTGTGATTAACAGGTCGCTGCCACTACCAGAGTCACTTCGTCACTCCTCCGCATTCCAAATATGGTAACTTCCATTCATCGGTTGCAAAAAAGGCGACGGCCGAATTCCATGATGGAGACGGCTAAATCCTCGAACTTGAGGCTTCAAAACATCAGTCCACAAACCAACGGGTGACGTCACGATGACTATGTCCACTTCTTATATACAGTCTATGGTTTTCCCTCGGGATCCTTTCATCAACAACCAAACAGATGAATGTCTGTACTTCATCAATTGACCACAGCTTTTGGTTTTGGCTGCCTTTTTTTAAAATCTGGGTTGAGAAAATGAACACCATGGATTGTAGTTAAGGCTATTATTGTGCAGGATTTCCCCATGTCATGCAAGATTACGATTCTAGTGACAATCCTCTCTAACCAACTCTGCAGTGTTTTGACATTCTAATATCGGTTCAGCTTAAGGTGATACAAAAAAAAGTACCAGGTAAAAGGTACTATTCTCAACTTTTGCCAATGGGAAACCAAACAGGAACAAGCGGAAGTCTGGCATTAGCGCACCATGTCGAATGATGTCAGTCTGCTCCATCATCTTTTTATCCTACACAAAGTGGCTATAATAACACTCCATGAAGAGGAAGCTACAAATGTCAACACCTGTCTCTCTCTGGCTTGTGTTTGGTTACCAGGTTAGTTTTGGAGAAGGTAAGATGTTGGATTTTCACAGTGGGGTTGGAGGCCCTTTTAGATTTAAAAAAAAATCATGATTTAAAAATCATAGTACTCCTGTATCAAGTTCTTCTGCCTATAGAGTGGAGTAAAATACCTCTCAGTGCTCTGTCCATGATCCATACCAGACAACAATCCCAATGGTATGACCCCAATATCTTCCTGTCTGTCTAGCCATTTAGCCAAGTTCCTCCTGACTTCTAATCCCTTAATCTGATCTCTGATGGATAAACAGCACACAGGCTAACAGCAGACACCTTCACAAGTCTGCAGCATGGTCTGCTAAAAAACGATTTATCAAAGTGACATTTGCCTTTGAATAATGCTCACAACACTCAGTGGTCCATCTAGTGTTATCGACTTCAGATGGATATATATCTGACTCTACCGAGCCATTGTGGGAGAAATTTAACATAAAAGTAACATTAACAGCGTTACCATATTTAATTCCATCTGAACGTCTTTTCCACAGTTAAATAAGTGTCTTGAATTTAATAATTTCTGAGGCACTAATACATTGACTTTATGAGCCACAATGGATTTTTTCAAACACAGACTTACTACTTAATACTTTTTGTATTTACTCAAGAATTTAAAGCAAAACACGATGTGGGAACTATGCATATTCACTTTCTTTCCAATAGCTATATGAGATATCATATCATGTGTTTTTGGCCTCTGACATATTATCACCTCATGAAGTTCAAATGGCTTATTATACTGCTGGATTTTTAGCAAGGAGTTGCCTATTTACACATGCAGCAGTTACATGCATTCATTTGGAGTTGTGTTTGTTGCCAACTTGTGGATGTCCAATATTCACTTTCCTATTAGCTCTGGTTTGTTCTTGATCCACTTCTGAGAAAATCATCTCTCTCTTAAGCTTAATGCTGGTGCCAAGAAACAGTTCCAGCACTGAACTCCCCCTTAAATCATGAACCTTTATTTTTACATTTCTGTAAATTCTTTACATTTGTGTACGGATTAAACAAATACAACCATTGGTAGGGCTGTTTTGTGAATGAGCCAGACTAGGTGTTTTCCAGTGATTCTAGTCTAAACTAAGCTAGGCTAATCGTGCCTTGACTCCAGCTCTGTACTTAACACACCCGTATGAGGCTGATATCCATCTGAACATCTCACTCAGAGTAACACAAAGCATATTTAGCTAAATGTTTAGCTATTCCATTAACTAAGGGAATGCTGGATTATGCTACTAAATCTCTAGAGCGAAAATGAATATCTTTCTGTATTACAAAATATCACTCAAACTTAGTCAATATGAAGGTAACAGCAGAGGGTTTTTAGGTCTGGACAGTGGTGTGAAAATGAGTCCTCCCTACCCAGCTCTGCCAAATGTACTGAAATGAGTGGGAAGGAGAGGGTGCGTGGTGCCTGGCTTTCTGCAGGCAGCCCAGAACATCAGCATGTAAAGTGGGAGTGTATGAATGTGTACATACATTAATTACATCCAAATACATGTAGTTTGCAGCTTGTCAGTTTTAAACATGTTCATTTCTGTGTTTTAAATGTGATTTTTTGAGAGCATGAAAATAGGACGAGATGTAGTGACTTTGTAGCCGTAGCTGCTGTTTGAGTGTGTGTCTGTCCGTGTGAGTAAAAGTCTTGTTAGACAAAGCCAGACCCCTGCTAGGAGGCTGCAAGCAACTGATAGCTTAAAGGAATTAAAAGATTACCTACTCAAAAGACCCTCGTGGCTCATTTTAGCTCCTGTAACAACAAGTTACCTCAGCATAACTACAACACAGTGGTAATCTCTGTAATTCCTAATCTCCATCTGACAAGAGCATTTACCCTTAAAAGTCTTCATCTTCAAATAGATGTTTTTTTCTTGAGGCAAATTTAAACAGTAACAGCAACACAGAAGTCTACTCACCAGGTGTGTGCTGTGTGTGTCCTCGAGAAGGTGATAGCAGAGCGTGTGAAGAAGGTAGAGCTGACACTCGCAGCCTTTACAACATTACTGAGCCTGAGGTTGTGTTGGGAGATTGTGTAGGCTGAGAGAGATTCAGACTGACTGGTAAGACTCTCCTCCCTCTCCCTCTCTCCCCCTCTCTCTATCTTTATCTGCTCCCTGTGAGTCTGTCACAGAGCCCAGTCATGTGCCTGAAATACCTCTGCCAAACTATTTTTCCACATCACACACACACAGGCATTCAATATGTATGTGTATGTTCTACATGTACCGAGTGGTACCAAATAGACAGATGATAGTTCTGCAAACAGGACAAACAAATGAAACAGGGCAGTTTCACTCCTGTTTGTTTAGCTTCGCTCAGCAGAATTAGTTTATTGACCTAAACATTTTAACACAACAGCAAAATACTAAAACTGAAATGTTCATGGAGCCAAAAGCAAAACTCTTGATGGACGTGACGCCGACATCAAGAACAAAGCTTGCGTTGGCGCCATCTTTACGAACACGGCACACCTGAAAATCAAGCTCCTTACACACACACACATTAACACATACTTACAGAAATGTATTTCTTGGTTACTTAGCTACCAAAACAATATGTTCATCCAGCAAGACTCATTTAACTTGGATTAATTATTCACCCACCTGCAAACAGGACAAATAAACGAGACAGGGCAACTTCACTCCTGTTTGTTTAGCCTCGCTCAGCAGAATGAGGAAAACAATGGCATCGCGGCGTTAAGATCTTAAATCACTCTCCTGTCATAAAGCAAAGTATAGGGCCACCCTGCCCACTCCTGGCTACAAGCTGAGATGTACATGCATTGTACATGAAAACGATTTAGTTAACACACATTAACACACATTGGTGGGCGTCACATATGCACAAACTGTACATAAAGGTAAAGTGCAAACCTACAAATAATGTAATCAACTTCTTTACGTATCAGTGTCCACATTAGTGTGCATGGCATGGACACTACTCCTCATTCCACTGTAGGACTTTTTGAGGGTACTATATGGAGCATACATTTTTCACTCACAATTGTAATACTCAGATAAAAATATATATATATATATATATATATAAAAGTATATATGAAAAGTTCAAAGTTAGCTTTATTGTCAGTTCCACAATATGTACCGAACATACTGAGGAGTTGAAAAAATGTTTCTCTCCAGTCCAACATATAAACATATAAAGTGAATACAGTGCAAATAGATAAAAAACATTTAGACAACATATACTTTAGCAGCAGTCGGACATAGAGTCTTATAGTGCACTAAATCGTAAATGGGGATGGTTTTCAGACTCGGCAGAAGACCAACTATGTGTTAGTTTCAAAACTTCACTGAATTCCAAGTAGCAATTCATTTGAATGAAGCCTTTCTCTCCCGGGTTTGATACAGCGTTGTCCGACACAGGATTGTCATGCATAAAAGTCTGGTCCCACCTGCTCCCTCCCGCTAGGTAGAGTAGTAAATACTACCGGACCATGTCACCACCTCTTTGACCTCTGTTTGAAATTGTACATACAGTAAGAATCTTTCCATACATCCCACATTTATCTGGTTATGAGTAGTATTTGACAGTGCTCTGTTTCTAGAGAGCCATAAACTATCTGAAGAACATATCCGAATGTGTGTCTGGTGGCAATAAACATGCGCATGCACAATACAAACAAAACAGGGATCCATTCAAAAGAAATATTGCTCCATAGCTCCCTATGAGTAATCAAAAACAGGGAACATTTAAGTCAGCTTCAAATGGCCTGTACATACTGTACGTATGTTGTTTTAACACTTGTGTGTTTTTAGGATGCTAGAGCTTCATAATTGTGGTACAAATAGACCAAAAGGTATCAGTACATAACCACCATAACCAAGACTGTAAATTAACAGTTAAGTCTGCAGCACGTAGCAAGTCTCTATCTGAATTGTGTGTGCAGCTGTCCATGCACATGATGGACGTGCACAGACACCAGTGCTGACATACAATTAGTGTACCACTCCTCCATATTTAGCTTCAAAGAGTGTGAGCAGTGAAGTGTGGATGGGCATAAATATGTCTGTCTGCATGTCATTCTCTTTGTAACTCAACTCCAGTTATCAAAAGCCAACGATACATGCAGCTACAACTGATAATATGACAATGTAAGGCATTCACTATTAGCTATCAGGTTGTCAGACAGCCATACATGTTAGGCAGAAGCAATGTGTCTGATACAACTTTGTTGTTAGAAAATGGTGGTTTATTCTTGGGTTCCTTTTGAAATACTGCTCTACCTAAAAGCTTTAATTGGAGAGGTTGCTGTTGCCATAGCAACATTACCCATTGAAAATTTGTACATGCTTGGTAGACAGAGCAGATGGAAAGAATGACGACATATATCTGCTTTTCAGGCAGTGTGTCCTCAGTAAAGCAGATGCCTGTATACATTTACCAATATTTACTGTCACTGTTGAAAACTAGTGACGGTTTGGTCATTTTGGGTTTTGTGATGTAAAGTTGATTGCACCATTTATACAATCAACTGAGGTGAGATCCCACAATTATCATATTAGCTTTTTGATTGGAGAACAGTATTCAGTAAGCTACAGGATACTGGAGACCTTTTATTGCATATTGGACAGTGTGTCAGGCAGTTGAGTTTGAAAAAAATGTAATCTCAGGCCAAGAACTTGATGACTCAGGACATCTTCAGAATGACTTAAGCACAGAAAAAAGCAAATTCCCCTTTGTAATATAAATGGGGCCACTCTGTTGATGCAGCAAACTTACCAATGTCGAAAAATGTTGAGTCCAACAACCAAGATTTCATTACAACAAAAAGAATGGCACGGAGTGTCTTACCATACAATGAATAAGAAATGCTGAAATAAGACTCAATAGTTTGTCATGTTTTTTTTGCCATTTTTTCTTTTGTCATTTTAAGTGCACAAAATGGAACTTCTGTGATTCCAGGGATGCAAAACTACACATTCACTACACAAACTTGTATAGGTTAGTGCATGGTCAACCTTGTCTTCTACATTTGGCCACAAGTTATCCAATGATAGCATCTGTCCTCTCTGACAATACAGCTGGGAACAAATCTTTTTCATGTCTGATCCATTCTTGGAAATCGCCTGCAGTTACGCCCAGGCCACACTACCTGCATGAGCAGCACGTGTGCTTCCCCGAACCTCTTGCTCTTTATTTCAGGGTCCATGTTAACAGGTTAGAGCAGCCACACATGCGGTTGCGTGTCGGCAATGTGGACCGGGTGTTATGTCCAGACATCCGGCACTAATAGTGTCACAGAGAGACATCTGATCATTGTGGTCATTGTGGTCTTAAACTTCCCACCACCATGACTTCCTCTATGCTACGGTATACTATGGAAGTCCCATCTGGAACAGTCCTGACTTCTTATTGAACAGAAAACCACTACATTTTTCATCATGGATTAGTAAAGGTGTTACACATCTCAAACACATCTTCCATAATAACACTTTAGTCTCATTTTCTTATTTGGTTCAGAAGCACGGCATTGGAGAGAATCACTTCTTAGAATATGGTACTTGTATATCACTTTTATAGTCTTTCGACCACTTAAAGCACTTTAACACTACATGTCATCATTCACCCATACACACCCATTCATACACTGATGATAGGGGCTACCATGCAAGGTTCCACCTGCCCATCAGGACTAACTAACATTATTTCTACTTGAATTGTTATCATTCTTTTCTTACGATACGATTTCTTTTTTAAAATCATATATATACAAATATATTTTTCTTCTTCCCTCCTACTCTCTTGCATCCCTTTTTTTGATGTATTTTTGATTGTGTATGTATATATACTATATATATATATATATACACAGTATATACTATATACTGTATATATATATATATATAGTTTTTTGTGTACATGTACAGTTTTTGTGTATTTATTTTGAGATTGAAATATATCTCGTATTAATGTCAATCGACACCCCTCACTCACCCATTAACCGGCTCACACATAAGATGGACACACCCACACACACACACACACACACACATTCTCATTGTCATTCTCCTCAGTTTGCTTTTGTCCCCTTTACTTTTTGTCTCTGTCTTATTTTGTATAATTCCTTGGGTTGCATATGTGTTCATGTACTTATCTGCACTTGTTTTGTATTCACTTTTCTACTAAATAAAAACAAAAAAAACAGCTAATGTGTTTTTGGTAATATAATTCAACACATCTTTGTGGCGTACAGGTTGTTTCCACATTACATCTTAACGCTCATAAACACTCCTAATCCGAAATGACTTCCTAACTGAAAATGAGATCATCTGAGGGGCACTATTGTCTGCACGCTCCGAGTGCCATTCTACTTTTCTTATGAATTCCAAAACTGTTTAAGTGACCTACTGCAGGGAAATGACAACTTCTGCTGCAGCTGACTGTCTGATATCGAGCGCTGTGGGTTTCTTGCCAAAATCTCCCAAATAAAGTAACAAAAACTAAGCTGTGATGTTTCACTATGTTCAGTTTTATTCCAACAACATGGACAGCAGGTCAAACAAGCTGCCACTTCTGTAACTCTGCTGGCATAACGTTGTGCATGCTCATCTTTACTTCCTAAACACACACAGTGCCTGTAAACTGTCCAACTGCTGTCGAGGAATTTCGGTATATATTCTTTCTAAATTAAAACAAAACAAATTGTTATGATTTTGAAAGTTTTCTCAACTCTCTTTTAACTCTTAAATTTACCATAATATTTAACATACAAGGACAACAACTGGAAAAAGTGAATAACCTACTGTAATAAACAACCATCCCAGCAAAATGTTAATGTAGGCTTCTCAATACAATATTTGTTATATAATTAATGTCTTCTAAAGAAAGAAAAACTGATTATTATCATTTTAGGAATGCTCTTAACAGGCCCAATACATTGGCATTTCAAATTATCATTTAAAAAGCGATAATTAAAACGAAAACAGAAAATAATCATGAGAATTGATTATAAAGTCATGAAAAATGAATAATAGAATAAAGCACCTGTGTGATATGATAAAAAGTGTAACAACATAATATGCTACAACTATGGCAAGTGTTTCTAATTTCTT